TTCTTTTTTGTGGTTCCTGGTCCCTCTGCCCCCCCCCCCCCACCTCTCCCGGCCCCCCCCCCCCCACCTCTCCCGGCCCCCCCCCCACCCCCACACCGCAGCGGGTTGTTTAGGAGGGCTGTGAGCCCAGCAGTCTCTCGATGGCAGCGTTGATGTCGCCCCCTGTGGCGATGAGGGCCTGCAGGTTGGCCTCGCGGTTGATGAAGCCCATGGCGCTAAGCTGCTCCAGCTGCTGCTGGAAACGAATCTCCGGGGTCTGGCTCTGAGCGGTGGGCGGACGGAGAGAGGCAGCATCAGCAAAGAGCATCTCAGATCAGTACTGAGACCATTACAGTTTCTCCAGCACACTATAAACAAAATCAACCAGCAAAAACCCAAAAACGACCCAAAACAAAACGCCACTCTTAACAATTCACTCACCGAACCACTTCCTCCAGCAAACATCTGCAACATCTGCTGCATGAGCTGCTGTTGGGCGGAGCTGGTCCCAGAGGTGGGGGCGGGGCCACCGCCCGTGGGGGCGGAGTTATCGGAGGGCATGGCTCCAGTGGACAGAGTTGGCGCTGGAATTCCTCCAGGGGTCAAGCTGCAGAAACAGGGTGAGATGGTTGTCGGTTATTCCGGCAGACACAAGTGAAACGTTCAGATAATTGCACGAAAAAGTAATCGGAAAATAGCTACAACTGGATTTTACATCTTTAGGTCCTTACTAGTGCTTTAGAGAGTAAACTTTATCTTAACTGTTAACTGTTCAATGATCATAAATCAACAGTGATTTCATATAATAGTATAGTCAAATAGCAAAACGGAGTAGCATGAGATTCAGGGGGCTGGGACGCCATTGGCTGTGATCAGAAGGTTGGTGGTTCAAATCCCAGGGACGGCAGAGACATTTCATGTTGGCCCCCTGGGTGACGACGCTTTGATAAAGCATATGCTAAATAAACAAGATGTAAATAAGCTACTCTAATGAGCGGAAGGAAAGAATCCAGCTGCTCTCCCACTTTGTTGCCTTTTTCATGTGCAGAAGTATATCATCTGATCATAGACTTAAGAAACCATGTGTTCCTGCAGATGGCGCTGTTCAGCTCACTGGACGCCAGCCGGGCAGATGGACGTACCTGGGCATGAGCCCCGGGGCCTCGGTCTGTAGCGTCTGCAGTCCTTGCTGGATCTGCAGGAGAGCCTGCATGGCGCGTGGGTTGGTCATCACGGCCAGGGCCTCCGGGTTCTGCATCTGGGCAGCGACCGAATGAGAACAACTATTCAACAGAGAGCGTCTCGCAGACACAAAATTCCTAACAGAGCTGAGGCAAGGTCCAGAAAGTTTCCAGCCTCCACATCGCTGAGAGGCAAATGCATATGTCCCCCCCCTGAATGTCTGTGACACGAAAGACTTTTCATGACTATTAGACTTGTCGGAACCCAAACGTATAGAGTAGCGTCTCCACAGAAGACTGGGCAGCTAAGCGCTCACACCTCCGCCCCCCCCAGCCACAAGTGGCAACAGGCGTCTTACCTGCTGCAACAAAACAGGCAGCTGGAGCCTGAACTGCTCCTGCAGCTGGGGGTTGCCGGCAAAGAGAGGATTGTTCATCATCACCTGTGAGAATGGCAGAGAAGAAAAAAATATGCACAGTATGAAATTATTCAAACAATACAAAGATGTCTTTAGATGCAAACGCTGATTCGGGGAAAACCCGCCCAATCAGAACACACTAACCGGCTGTACAACCGTGTCCAATTATTCCAGGCTTTTGAAAGCTCCGGAAAAAAAGAGCTGACATCATTCAGGATGCGGAGACCTACAGTACTGAAAGACCCCATTGAAATACCTTCTCCAGAGACAAACGGGCATTATTTTCTGTTTCAGGGGCTCAGTTTCCCATCCCATAATAGCTGCACAGCATATTGCTTTACAGTTTTATCTTGCATGGTTTGTCTGGACCAGATTTTCCACCACTGCACCGCGGAGACGGCGATGGGCGCAGACCTGCGACGCGATGTCCGGGTTCTGTGCCAGTGACTGCATCATACTGCGCATGTAAGGGGCAGACAGCATGTTCTGCATCAGCTGCGGGTTGTCGGAGATCTGCTGCAACAGACTCTGCATCCCGGGGCTGCTGAATATGCCTGAGGAGAGCAGAGGAGCATAAGGAGATGTGAGGGCCAAGGTGACTTGGACACGTTTTTTTGGTGCTTTGTGGTTCCTGGTGCCCCTGCCCCCACCCCCACCCCTCTGCTCATGGGGCAGGCTGTGGCTCTGTGGACTCGGACACTCCATCTCTGATGGGATGGTTGCTGGTTTAAATCCCATGGCTGAGAATGACTTCACTCATGGGCCTTAACCCTTGAACGTCCGCTACATAAATGTAACTAAATGAGAGTCTATTTCAAACAATGGGCATCCAGTTTCCAACAGTGTAGGACACAGTTTGATATGGGGGGTGGGGGGGGGGGGCACCTTACATCTTAATTTAAATACAAAGGCCTATTTATTTGGGGGGGAGGGGAATACGTGAATACAAATATCGGGGGATACATGTATCCCTCCAATCACAAGCAAAGTTCATCAATACTCATGTGACTCTGATCAGGGTTGTAGCCGTGTACTGCTCTCACGCTACACCACGCTGCGAAGATGGATGGATATCATACCATGTACATTTGCTTATTACCGTTACTGGGGAAAAAATGCAAGCGAACGGGGAATCTAACCTGCAGATGCGCATGGTCCTTCCTAATCGGCGACTGGCGCCGTCGCGCCAGATCTCTTCCAGCGTGTCACTATGACATCCACCTGCCCGATTTTGTACCTCGCACGTCTGCACATGCATCTCTGAGCAGGCCTGCACCACATTACACTGGCGCTGCCCAAACCATTCACCCTGCCACTTCATGATAAACCTGTCTAAGAACAAACCACAGCGGTGGCTTTATTGCTTAGCGAAAACTGCGAATAATGTTTCTGCTGACTGGAAAAAAAAAATCTGTTTTCTTTGTCATTTTAAGTGTTCACTCTTTCTTTGATTTCAGAATTGACTATGGTCGTCTATTTCCAGTTTCTGGATGAACACTATTAGCTAAATATCCCCACATCTGAAAAATTTGTTTATATCAGAGGTGGGGAACCTGGTCCATGGAGGGCCGCACCGGGTTTTTCCATCAGTTGAAATTACTGCTATCCAGCGACATGGTACTTTGTATACTTTTGTTCACTGAACTAAAAAAAATGTCTGGCGTATTTAGCGTTTGTTGCAGCCATATTTATATGGCTCCAAATCAGTAGGATCAGGAAAAAAGATGTTTCAGCAAGCATTTGCATCAATAAAATGTTTATGAATGTTTTTTAAAAGGAGTGTTATTAATTAGTATAAAAAATGCTTACATTTACCTTGATTGTATAATCGACATGATTTATTAGATTATTAATGAACATTTAGTTAGACAGCGATACGTTTTATGGATAACTGTACATTTAGTGCATTAAGAATTGTCTCATTGACATGTTTTATACGATCAATTATGTCTATTTAGCTCGATAGTAAAATGTTTTTGTTATTACGATTATCTAAAGAGCTTATTTTAAGATCCTGCACTTTTATCCTAATTTCTTTTGTTCATATGGGATATGTACAGCTTACTTACGTATTTTAAGCATTTTATTTTGAAAATATCGCTTCAAGTTTCAACTATGATACGTTTATTCAAGCAAAAAATCTTCTCATTTTCATTACTTTAAGAGTCACTGTTACTGGGAGTCTTTCCCAAAAGCATAGTTGCTAACTATCTACCTGGAGTCATGCAGCTGAATGGCTCCAACTACGTATGTAAGGAAACAAACTGCCTGATCATTATAACTGTGAAATACTGTACACCATGAAAACGTGATTTTTTCCTGTGATGGCTATCATGCCGTGAAAATCTCATACCGCTGTATCCCAAACCCTGATAGGCCGCATGTGTGCGGTAAGGAAAAGGACACTAACTCAGAGCCACAGGAGTTGCGCTGTGGCCGTTCCTCAGCCTGACCTGGAGCCGAGCAGTAGGCGCACGCCTGTGTTTCGGGGCTCGGAGCTGGGCGTACCGTTGCCGAGACTGCCGGCATTGATGCCCAGGGGGTTTGACACAGTTGGGGTGGTCCCGGTTGAGGAGGGCGTTGGGGCGCCCGTGCCGCCCCCGCTTGAGGAAGCTGTCGTCCCAGGAGGCCCCCAGGGGTTGGGGAGAGGTTCTCGGTTTTCTGTCCTGGACGGCTGCCCCCCCAAGCCCTCAGTGTTGCCTCCCAAGGCAGAGAAGGGGTTGTTTCCAAACTGACAAGAAACGTGGTTTCCAATTATCATCATATAGTAATGGACAATGCTGAGGAATTACTTATAAACCCATATAACAGATGCCTGGTTACTGCAAGCAAAAGAGGAATCATGTGCTGCTCTGTGTGAGTGCCGGGTGTTTGCGGGATCACAGCCCGCTACAGGTCAACTGCCCCCCCAGTGCCGGGTGTTTGCGGGATCACAGCCTGCTACAGGTCAACTGCCCCCCCAATTCTCTAGTCAGGGCTCAGCACAGGACGGGCGTGAGCACCTGCTCGCGGGCGGCGCTGAACATGGGCTCCTGGATGTCGGTGTACATCCTGCGCAGGGCGTTGTAGCCTCCAGGGATGCTCTCCAGGTTGCTGAGCGCCCGGTCCTGGTTGCGCATCATCTCCTGCATCATGGCCGGGTTCCTCGCTAGCTCCATGGTCTGCCGTGGTGTTAAATGGGCCGTGTTGGTTAAGAAGCTGGTTAACAGGCTGCCAGCCGTCAACTCAAATCACTGGTCTGAAGGTACTGAACCAGAATAGATATTTAACTAGTGAGGTTTTGAGATTAAAACTGTAATCCCTATAAACTTACGATACCCATCAGGAGGATCAATGGATGGATGGATGGATGGATGGAGACCGTGATTCAGAAGATCTCCAGATGTAACCAGCCATTACCTCACCTGTCTCATGAGCTCAGGGTTGTTGAGCATGTGTGAGATTTCTGGGTTGCGCTCCATCAGCTGCTGCATCTGCGGGTTCGCCACAATCATCTGCCGCATCAGGTCCGGGTTGGACATCATGCTCTGCACCAGCGGGTTCTCCATGATCTGCGACAGCATCTCGGGGTTGGACATGAGCTGCCTCTGCATCTGCTGCTGCAGCTCCATGAAGTTGGCCGAGCCCATGCCCAGGGAGCTCAAGCTTGACAGATCCCCGAAGCCGGCTGGGAACACAATAAACCTACCATTAGGGGGCGCTAGCAGTGCTCCCAAACGTACATTAAGCAGTAACAACAGCTTCTGCTTGTCCAATCAGAAGCATGAGACAGAGCAACAGGTCAAATTCAGGCCCCACCTCTTTTCTGTTCCATGTTCTAGGGTGTATCTGATAGAATCCAGACCATATCGAGGATGAGTGCTTCACAGGGGTCCCACCTTCAGGTTTCCAGCTCTGTAGCACCATTTACCAACACCAGTAGGACTCCAGGTCTCTACCCACCCATTAGGATTGACTTACTCAGTACACTGGCTGGCTGTGGGGGAACAGGTGTGGTGGCGCTGCCATTGGGTCCAGTTGATGAGGAGCTGACTGCCGGGCTGGTGCTAGTGGGGGAAGCGCTGTTGCTGCTCGTCTGTGGGCTGTTTGAACTCGAGGCGGCTGAAGTCTGCGAGCTGGCGCCATCTGCAGACCTGGAGGCCCAAAATTTGAAGTTTACATCAAAATCAAACTATTTTTAACAAATCCTTTACGTGATAATCTGAGCCGAAACAGTGTCAGTACGGAGGACACTTTCCTAGAGATCTAAGGCCTTACTTGTGTGCAGTCTTGATGACCAGGTGCACTGTCAGGCCATCTTTGATTCCATGTTGGTTCAGCGTGTCCCCGTCCTTGAGAATTTTCCCCGCAAAGATCAGCACTAGTTGGTCCTGCTTGGCCTTAAACCTTCTTGAGATCTCCTCCTTGAACTGTGCAGTAAAGAGAAACAAGACGAAAACGTTAGAATAAGACATGCAAATTCCAGATGCATGTAAGAACCTGAACATCAAAGGATGGGAAATTTACAAACATTAAAAAACATGATTAACATAAATGAAACAAAATTTCTTTGAAATGCACCTTGCTTAAAAATACAATTTGCTGTTCAATAGAAAAATATTATGCTATATGTATACACAAATACCCCTAAAGTTAAAAGGAATTTAAGCAGGTTCTTTATTATCTTTACTACATCAAAACTTAAACCGATTCGTGGATTTTACTGGTGAAAGAAAAACAATAGTCTATAAGAGTTGTCAAAAACAATGTCAATTACACAACCTTCTGCAGTAATTTGAAATGATTACAGTTCTCAGTGACAAGTGATGTTTTGTAGTTCAGTATATTACAGTAAATATTTTTGCAATTTAGCATCCCTGTTTTTACGCCACAATGTACACTCTCCAAAGAGAGCTCAAACATAGCAGGATAGACACCTAAAATACTCAGGGGAGAAAAAAAAAAAACCTCACACATAAAATATCCTCACCTTCAGACAAGTTTTATTGGTACAAATCCGTACCCTCATACGCAATAATTAAGAATCACAAATACAAATTTGCAAGAGAAACGACAGAACAACAAATTATTCCTTGAATGGAATGCAAAAAAAAATTAAAAATCCTGCAGCATATAAAGAAATAAAGAGCTCAAAGGGACACACCATAAACACCATGTCCACAATTCCACAACCGACTGGAACGGGACATACATGACGGATTTTGGAAATCAGCCTGAATGTCATGGCAGGTGAGATTACCATGATCTCAGAATTGGATGAATGCGAAGAGCAAAAAAAAATTTTTAAGCTAGATGATCGACTGTCGCACATCCAGGTTTTTGAAAACTCATTTCTCTGATAACGGCACAAAAGCAAGAGACATCAACAACCTCAGAGCTATTTCACCTTTGCAAAACAATCCAAAGATGATGCACATGAACTTTAATACTAGCCGGGATTCTTGATTTAAAGCTTTTATCCTGCAAGCAAATGTCATTTGAAAATGTCAAATGCTTACACATAGCATTTTCATAACGACTATACATTCACTTTCATTTTAAAAATTTAAAATGTCAAACATAAGCAGGCTGACCTGGCGGATATTTTGATGGATCCAGTTTAGTTACCATGACAACTGGAGGGTACATAACCAGATACCTTCATTTATATGAATAAAATTGTTATCCAGAAATTCTACAGAGTAGTATACTTGAATTACACTATTTACAGCTACAATACAGCAGTTTTCTGAACAGAGATATTTGAATTCAGCATACAAACTCATCACAAATCATAAATATGATTACAACGTTAGCCAAGCAACAATCTAATTAAGTACTAATAAAAAAAATTAGACACTGCATCTCCATTCCGCATAATGACCAAACCCCATGTCTGATTAAAGTCGCCCGAATTAAACGCTAGCTTCCGCTGAAATAGTCAACTAGCCGGCTTCTCGCATCGGATTTGATTTATTGCCTTCATGCTTGTTCAATACAGCTAGTTCATGTATGTGGGGAAAAAACTTATATTACCATAACACCCTTAAATGGCCATTCAAATTAGAACTAGTATTATCAGCAGGGTTAACATTGCGGAGCTGACAGAAAATACCTCCTGTGGGTAATTTCAACCGCAGTGACAAGCATGATCTGTAGACTCCGGCAGGCCGTGCGTTACCAGCGGACCTGGGCGATCACCGGCCGTCTACCAGTGCCTTTTCCAGAACATTCACCCGGCGAGTCTGACGGGGACTGTACACAACAGCAAAGTACCTTCCAGAAGGATAGTCTATTATCGGTAGAAGTGGTTTGTACAACGACCTAGACGCAGCTTTTAGTCAACAGCCGAAATACACCACTTTCCTACATTTGTCTGCGATCGATTGCGCATTTGATTGCACATGACTGAGGTGCGATCGCCATCACTTAGAAATTACACCGACACAATTCGGCAGACACCGCTTAGCGACATGCCAACGCAGATGCCGTCTAAACGTCTTATATCGCTCTCTCCGCCATGTGTTTCTCTGACTGTGAATTTCACGTAATGTAAAATTGCTCAACCACACCGCAGCCCGCCATCGTTAGCTAGCTAGGGTTCACACGACCAGGCGGTGGGGGGGGGCAAAGTAGCAATGCATACGCAATTAACGGAATAAAATGTGACTCAAATAATAGACCTGTGTGACAGAAGCATCCTCCGAGATCGCAATTTCCTCCTTATCCTTTGGGGTTTTTACCGTGACCCTGATTATAGTGCCCTCCGGAGCGGTATTCTTGTTGTTATTATTATTATTCACAGGGTCTGAACCGCCGTTGTCCGCCATCTTTACTCCTCCTATATTCACTGAGTCACTGACAAAAAAATTACCGTCGTCAAGAGAAAATAATTTCCCAGTCCCTTACGCAAGTGGACTTTACTGTTTTAATGCTGAAGCCCTCTAGTGTCGTGGAGGCGTTACTGCAATTGTGTCAATGAAATCTGTACCGCTGTTTGTCAGCAGAGGTTGTGAAAAGTTGTGAACACATCTGAACACGGGGAGCATAATTTCAAGGCAGAAGTGGGGGCATATTCACTGAAACAGACACATTTTATTTATGCATAATTACAGAACACTTTTTTGCCTCGTAATGCATGCTGATATTTTACTAATGCTGGCAGAGTAACATTAAATATTCAGTATAAAATAAAGTAATTAATATAGTTTGCTTCTTGAAAAAACAAAGATATAATCCAGGTTTTTAGTGTTGATTTTATTAGTTTGCATTAAATTAATTGCACGTTTGAGGATGAGCATCATTGTTTATAATAATAATTTATAATTATGAGTCATACCCTCATAATTCTTTCCTGTCATCAACAAACCCTGAATCGACAAATTGCCCTATAACTGATGATTTTACTGAATATGTTACGGAAGCATCCCTCATGAAACTTAAGCTATCAGCCATTTCACCAAAATTGTAGGCTGCAAAACTTAGACAACCCGCAATGAATCCAACATTTTAACTGCTGTTGTGATGAAAAAGGTCTGTGATTCAAGTCTAGATCAAGTAGGTTTGATGAAGCAAAGAGAGGAATCACCAGGGGAAAAATGTAATCAAGGTATCAGGGTCAATACAGAAGTCCAGAAACCAATCGGAGGCAATACGTATGTCAAATCCTACTCAGCAAATAGATAAATGTCCAGAAAACCAGCAACAATCAATAATAAACAGGGCAAGTTTGCAGTTTAACAATGAGCAAGCTCAGTACCACACAAAAGAGTTATTTCAGAGAGGTCCTTATACATCCATTGTTTAATCAGAGAATATGCTGCAGGTAAATCTAGAATTCTGGTGAGGTGTGGTGTGGCTGTAGGAACTGCTGACTGGGGGCAGATTTTTAAAAATGTGCTCTACAGGATCATAGTAAATTAAATCAGCTGAGATACATACGTTGATATTTTGGGACAAGGCTCTGACTAACACAAATAAATTCCACCAATCTGTCTCTGGGGTTACCAACTTAGCAACCCCCCTGCCCCTCACCAAATGTCACCCTCGGTGCCCCCCCAACCCCAGCACAAGGTGTAACATCCAAGTCACATGGATTTCGACCAGCCTTGTGAACCATCAATTTTGCGGTAGTTTTTGTAGAAGTTGGAACGGGCCCCACCCTACAGAAAGGTATTCAAAGACGTATAAAAAAGGGTTTGCTTAGGTGGGGAAATCCCTGTGATGTCACACCAGTATATTATTACATCAACCCACTGGGGGCAGTGAGGCGGTTTGCCTGGTCTCACCAATCAGAGCCTCAGCAGAATAGTCACATGTCCATGGGCCCTTGTGCAATGGCATTACCCCCAGCTGGCTGACCTTGCACTGTGACCCCCCCCCCCATACACACACACAAGTTTTCTCTCACTTGTATATGTGTTTCACAGAGAGCAAGAATGGTAGGTGAAAAGAAACATTCCAATGCAGTTAAAAAAAATAACGTTATTTTGTTTCCAGCAAACAGTACAGGTGAGACAAGGGCACCATCTTTGACATATTAAATACATCTGTTGTTTTACTATGAATCACTGACGTTAAGAGTAAGATCAAATAAAAAATAGGGGTTAGTTTGTTTTGCGTTTACTGTCAAATAGCTACAATTTATTCATAAAACTGTAAAGTCTAACTACACTCAGAGATATTAGATGTGGAAATACTCAGACATATGTAAAAAGACCTTCTCTGAAAATAAAAATATGAAACTCGAAAAACAGGTTTGAGTTTATCTTCCTGCCTTTAGTCACAGACTAATTATCAGATAGTTTAGAGGCTCTGAAGAACTTGTTTCAATTTCACGTGTCAATTTTCAAACACTGTAGACATTACAGGACTACATGGGCGTCGCCACCATTAAACCTGCGGGGGACGTGTCCCCCTCGCATTTCATAATTATTCGTTTGGACCCACCACATTTAACATAAAATATTAGTTCACCCAGCGCTGTTTTTATTGCTCCGCGAAAGAATCCATTCCACTTGATCGATATGAGAATACACATACAGCATCTAATTCATTAAAAAAAAATCCGGGGGGGGGTTTCCAGAACCCCCCCCCCCCCCCCAGTGTGTCCGTCCCACATTCAAAATGCTTCTGACGCCCCTGCAGGACTAGCAGGATGTCAGTCACAAAATGTGATTGGGCGTGTCTTCACGATGACCTCTGACCTTAGAAGCAATTATCCTCAGTGCTGCCTCTCCATGTGAATGCAATGTCACAGTCACTCACCGCTCAACAGGTGCCCATAACTAAACCCCAGGGATTGATTTCACTTATTCATTGTGACACGGGTTCCCTTTCTCTGATACTGGTGAATGTTTTTGCTGTGAATGTGTCAGCCTCACTAGCCTGAGCCCTTTAACTGCCACAGAGCACACAAACGGTGCTGGGTGCCCTCTGATGACTGTTCATACTTCATGAGGTGTATCTGCAGGCCGTACTGGGTTCCCCGCTTACCATTTCACTCCATCCATCTTCCATTACAACTTATATGCATTGTAGGAGTGCAAATACATTTTGACTAGCAAGAATTCTAGTACGAATTTTATTAATAAAAATTGCATTACAGATCTCTACAATTGCATTTTTACTAGTAAGAAAATGTTATTTTTCTAAGTATGAATTAAGTTATGATGAGTAAGCCTTATACTAATAAAAGAGAATAATCTTCAGCTTGCAGCACTGTCAGTAAAGTCGAGGGATGCCACGTGCTTGGAGTAGAAGCTGAGCTGCATATTCTGATAAATAAGGTCTGATCTTTCTGATGTTATATAATGCAAATCGAGACGATTAGGTGATACCTGTGATGTCATTTATGCACTGCTGGGTCCTGAGCAGACCGTGATGGAGAGCAGCTTCAATGATTAAAGCTGTACAGTGATCTGGTGGTGAATGGTAGGACTGGCAGGGAAGACTGGAAGCTTTCACGCAGAGATGTCTAACACAGTGATGCACTCACAGGTGCAGCAACAGGACCGGCAGGGCAAGCAATGGCCTGGGGCCCCGAGCTGGGAGGGGCCCTGAGCTGGGAGGGGCCCCGAGGCGGCTGATTATCTAGTACATTGTAACTACAACTCTGCCTTATTTATACATCCTGAAAATAAAGGTCTTGTGTTCATTAAATTGTCTTTGTTGACATTATTAATTTACACTTCACAGTAAAATAAGGGTAATAAATTTTACTATGCTGGGGGAGGGGGAGTTGGGGGGCCCCCAGAGTCCTTAGAATAGCCTCTGGATGCACAAGATCTATAGGCCCTGCACACGTTCACAATGAAGAACCCTTGGTCATGAATGTAGCAGTAATACATTCCTACCACTGGATGGCAGTGTGGTTTCAGAAAGCTCTGAAATATAACACCATAAGGACATTTTTTACTAATTTCAAGAAAGGATTTTTGTCAAGTTAAAGCGCAAAGTGATTACCACTGTTGCCACACACTTCTGGAGACCAGGGTTCGAGCCTCCGTCGTGGCCCACCCCTGTCAAACACCATTGAAGTAAATAGCCCTTTGACAACTCAAGTGGCCCAAGGTGCGATGACCCTCTTGGATTCACCCTGACACTGCAGGATCTGAGTCAACCATGTTAAACCATTAAAGTATTAAATAATTCAAGTAATAAAGGACTTGAGAGCTTCTACCAAACCTGCACCCTCACCAGTTATAGAAAGTTAAGGCCCATCTCACATGTTTGCATAAAGTTTTATAAAATGGCTGATTACTATTAATTATTTGCATTGGCACTGCTAAAGCACCTCGTGGGAACTGGACATATAGTTTTTTTTTGGTTTGGCTTGCTTTTAGTTAGTTTTTAGTTCGAGTTATTTTTTAGTTGCTTTTGCATTTAGCTTTCAAAGCTGACGCATGCGCTACTCACATCCACGGCTAACTCAGATCCCGCAGTGACACCCTACTGACGACACATAAAAGTCACACCCTCCTCCAGGTAGCTTCGGAGACTTGAATTGTTTTTTCTTCCTGTATTGTGCACGTTGTATCATGTTGAATCATTCTTTTGCCTGGTTGCCTGCTGCCAGGTATCTGTTGTGCAACACAATTTTGAATTTCAATGAGTTTATCTAGTTAAAGGTTAACTGCCACTCAGACAATCACCAGAGCAACTACAGACCCTGACTAGGTGTTTACTACAGTGCAATATATTACCATAACATTAGCAGCTACATCTTTATACGTCTTGGATTACTTACATTTTGGTGACTTTTTGGTGCATTATGGCATGAATTTTTATGCATTTAATAAAATGGAACTTTTGTGAAAGAAAAGCCATGATCAGGAGAAATGACTAGAATTGTGTGACCTTTGAACTGTGGTCATGTGAAACCCATTCAATGCATAACTTGTACTTTTGACTCTTGGATTCTAACTACAATCAATTCCAAATGATTTATGATTATAAACAATAACGTTATATTGATATTTTCTGGCAGAACTAAAGTGTTTCTAAGTGATTATGTTTATTAAACAATCTTGCAGTTACTGATACATCAGTTTTGTGTACTGGCATGTCTGGAGTCCTTATGCGTGCTTTCAAAAGTATCAGCAAATACTGGGATTTTTTAAAAATTCTTACGGACAGGATGTTCTATCATAAACAATAAATATGGGCTTCAAATTTACATATTGTTTCCTTTTTGCATATGCATGCTTTTAAACTGGAAAAACATCATTATAACCAGTATATACTTCTCTTAATACAAAGATCTCAAATGTTTACATCCACAATTCCTCATATTACCACTCAAATGGGCGTGAATATTCATCACTTTCATTCTTGAGGTATAAGCAACTGTGGAAAATAGATGGATGGATTTTAAAATGTGAATTTATGATTTATCTCCTATAAACTGATCCTTTATCATATCAGAGTCAGTAATGGAAAGAACCTGTATGAAATTCTGCCATGTATTTCTATCATACATTTTGTATCTGGCTGAACCGGGCCTTGGACGCAAAACCGTCCTCATAGCCAAGAGCATTTTAACTTAGGACATCACAACCTGCTTTGGTGACACTTTGGTGCTGTAACATCCTCTGCTCTCTTTGGAAGGCTTTCCGCTAGATGTTGGATCATTGCTGCTGAGGTTATTGGGTCCATCCATATGACCACTTGACAGAACTTCCTCCCAGATATTTTCACCTTCACAATCACTTCACTTGCAGTTGACCAGGACAGCCTTGGCAGGGCAGAAATGTGGCAAACTGACCTGTTGGGAAGATGACGGCGGCCTCCGATGGTGCAGAGTAGAGAGTGACTCACCTTTTCTGTACAACCACCCATTTTGCTGCAGGAGACTTTGTGACTGTGTACTTACTAATACACCTGTTTCAGCAATGGGTGTGGCTTCCTCAGGCAAGTCCTCTAATTAGTAGGGGTGTCTGCATATTTTTGGCCGTGTACATATTGACTATTCTGTAGTCAATATGAATGAACTGTTTTTGAATACACTGCTCTGCCTAGTGTTACTGTGCTATCCTGTACAATGACAATAAAGAATTTAATCTTTAATCTGGAAACTAAATACTAAAATAGTTCCTTTCTTGGTAAAACAAACACAGAAAGAAAGATGCCTACTAAGTATTTGGTATTAGTGCCCTTTTTACATGAAAAACTCAAAGACTAACCAAGACAACAATGTTTCAGTTTCACAACAGTCAGAAAGGTTAAGTCTTTCAAAACATATGTAATATAAGGTTGTTTTTTAATATATAGATAAATTTCTAGGACTTGAAGAAAACAGAAAGGATTAAAAAGAAATAAAGTTCAATTTAGTCTTCAGTAAAGTGCTTCACGATAAGATGATAAAGCCATGCAAGGTGATTAAGTGAGGGATCTGTATAGGCAGTTGATGCGCTTGGTTACTAAGCTAAAAGGGATGTTAAGATATTTGACAAACTAATCAGACCAGATTTAACTGGAAAAATCAAAATAAAGAAAAGCCACTTGATTCCATCTTTAGCCTTCATATTAAATTCAGTAAGAGATCATTCTCTGATTCTGCCCCCAACACCAAGCAGTGAGAGAACATCTTCAACATGGCAGCTCAGGAAGAATGAACACAAACATAAACATTCTGGAAGACCTCCCAGAAGTGCAGCTCATCAGTGAAGCTCCAGGAGCAGCCCAAGTCCTTGGTCACCTTGACTGTGTTAACCGCACAGACTGGCAACGTATGAAACAGCAATTCTGCTGTGGCTTCTGGAGAAATCTTCTTCTGATCCTGGATCAGCTTCCGTATTTGAGGTTTGTCCAGAGGCTCCGGGGAGGCGCTGTAGGATATCATCACATTCAGCTTGTCATCTTGTGCCGTCGCTTGAAACCGACTCTTTCCTGCTAAGCAATCAAAGTCCTTTTTCCTAGCAAAGATGCCACTGGGTGAATTATATACGCGAACTGACCAACCGACCCAGTCATACTTCCGCTTCAGAGCTTCTATGATGGCGTCTGCTAGCTGCTGATTGGTCATGGGCCCGCCCTCGTCCCTCACCAGTCGCCGGATGTCTGTAAGGGCCTGATTTGGGAAGCTGTTGATGCAGTCCTCGATGACAGCATTCATTTTAGCCTGAACCTCATTAGTCTTCTCGTTCCAGTCTTGTAGAATTTTGTCCACATCATCACACTCCTTCAGGGCAGAGTAACCCAAGAGGGCAATGAGGCCCACGCAGAAAAGGTGCTTTAACCGGGCGCAGAAGTCCTCCATGGACCTCCTGTTTTTTTCTTCATAATTCAGTGTGATCTCCAACACCGACTCACCGGAAAAGTTGTCTCCGGTCACAGCTCCATACAGGGTGTTTAAGTTCTTTTCTCCTCCAGTCTTTGCAAAATGTTCCATGAAGAGCTTCTTCTTGACCTCGCGGAACTTGGGCTTGGCGTTGAGGATGTCCATGTACTTACGGAACTGATTGGTGAGGTTCTCCTCTACCTGGAAGTAGGCCGCATCCACACCACTCTTTTTGATCTGCTGGTTGATGCGCTCCACTTCCTCTGACATCACTTCCAGGCGTTCCCGAACCTTCTGGAACTGTTCCTTCATGTACTCTGCCTCTTTGCTCTCTACGTTGTCCAGGGCTAATTGCACGAGAGGTGCAGCAATGGAGAACACGGGAAAAAGATCCCCTGCCATGCTGGCGATAACTTCAGCACCCTTCTCAAACACCTCCATTACAGTCTCCACAGTTTCCTTCTTGTCTACCAGTAATTTCTGCAGCTGCTCAGCCATCTTGGTGTTGATTTGGAACAAGAAAGCTCCTCTCTGTAAACAAAATTCTGGTGCTTAATATTTATGAAAAATGGTATGTGTTTAACAAGAACTGTAATTTAACAGCTTTGGCCCTGCCTGTACTGAATTAGCAGTTCTGTGGCATGTTTTTTTTTTTTTAGGTTTTTTGTATTTAATTTAGCATATTCTTGAACATTTTTTGGTTTTGTTGTGTTTTGTGTCTATATCATTAAAATCATATTTGTACTTGTTTCACCTGTCACATTTACACAGACCAAATGTAAACACCTGTAAATCTTCAAAAATTTTATGAGCTCAAGTTTCAAAGGAGTTTGATACATCAAAGCTGTGATGAAAGTCTTATCTGACTGTTTTACCGTACAATGCAATAAATAAGTTCAATAAACCCAGTGATTTGGACTGTGGTCTTCTTAAGTGTGGTTGGAACACTGACATAGTCCTCACATGTACTGAAGCAGAATGATTAAATAAATGCAAGTGTTGGTTTTGGGTTTGAAAGTTTAAGAAAATTCTGCCTGTCAACGATCCCAATTGTATAATGTAATAAATGAACAATCTGAGACTTATTGGACAGTACATGTGGATAAGATCATCAGTGGACAAGGACATGCCTTAGTACATTCACTTTTCATTTTCTATTCAGGCAAAAAAAAAAACGTACATTATGTTGATTTGATTGTTTTTAGTTGTTCATTAAACCCTTACCCTCGGGGGGCAGTTCACTCTAGTAATACCCAAGTGTTGTTCGTATTACCAATAGTCAGAATATTTACGATTATTCATCGTACATAACTTCTGCAATTCTTTTGTTTTGTTTTTTTAGAACTACTCGGTCACTATAGCGACGGCCCGGGCGAAAAAAAACAAGCCCACCACATTCCGATCGTGCAAACCACGTTTTTAGCATTATCCGAAGTACTAGATTTGCAAATACAGGCCACTTATTTTCTTCCAATATTTAAAGATAAAAATAAAACCTGTTCTTGCTCCATAAGGCCTTGCACCGCTTATATCCACAATAACTGGCTAGAGTTCATTACTCAGACGCGTTCCAAGTACGGAAACATGGTCGTTATCACAGTGCGTTAGGTTAACTTAATTACGTTTGTATGCTGTGAAATGTTAAACCGAAAACATTGAATTAGCTGTTAAGATAGTTTAAGTATATGAATATTGATATATGTTGGTACATCTGAAACGTCTTGTTTAGCATTCGTTGACTGGTGTTTAACAATGGATGTGTTTACTGAAATGAATCTGCTGCATTAAATGGTTGTTTATATTTTAAGTTGATATTTCAAAAACTATTTTCCTCGATGCCATGCATCAACGTTTTAATATTTTAAGTACAACTCGGATCAAATTTTCTCCCTACATCGTATAGTATCGCATATAAAACCCAAGTGTTGTTTTTCTTATTTCACTCTAAAATGTATTACTTTTAAGTTTTTTTTATTGTTTATTTTCATTTGACCAAAGATTAGGCCTAAATAAAAGTTTACCATGAATAAAGAACATTTAGCTTACTTAAAAATGATCCAGGAAGTAGCGCACGCTGCATTAACACGTGATCTATTCGTTAGCTTTTAGTCCGTTTAATGATTAAAATATATTTAACAACAATCGAACAACTTACCTTTTGCACCTTAGTAACTACAGAAGCTTTTTGCTTATTGCCGGTAACAGCAGTTTTTGTTTAGTTATTTTTATACTAAGAAAGAAAGCGATGTAAGGACTCGACACACCCAAGGAAGGCAGATCCAGCTGCGGGACCGGCCTGATCGCTGTCACCTCCCACCTTAAAAAAAAAAAACAGCAGAAAGAAAATAGCTAAATTACATAAAGTGACCAAATTGCTATTAGATACAATTTACCACATACACACATTTGTTGGTGCCAGTGTAATAATCAATAATCAACAAATGTAGCGTGAAGCTCAAACTGAAGACTATGACTGTCACAGATCATCAATGTTAAAACGGGCCGCTGCCAGACCTTACTGTATATATCCATAGTACATACATTCACACAACCTAAGAATTATTTTTTTATTGTATGACTATCATAATTATACACGTGACCTAACCAATCCAAATTTTCGTATTATTGGGTTTTGCGTCGTGTCATATAACTGTGTCGTGTCATATAACTGTGTCGTGTCATATAACTGTGATATGTGCAGCATTAGATCATTTGCAACATAAATTGACATCTATACCATATTGGTCTGACCAACCCCGTGATACAGACCACTATACCTGAGCAAGTTACATTGGTGAGGAGATGCTTGTTATAGTGCCTTTTTAACGCAAAATCATATATGGCTATAAAACGCTGAATATGCTAACCTGGCACCTACACGTGTATTAGTATATTGGTGTAAACCACATTGCTTAAATACCTGACCAATACCTACAATAGGTCTACATAATCTCACATTTTAATTGTTACATCTATACAGATGCAGCATCACTATGCTTTCTCACACTTAAGTAAAAATACACAGACAGCACACAGTTCTTTACTGACTTTTAAATTGCACCATTATGATTAGTAATGAGAATGAGCAGATTTTAGAGTTTAAAACACATTACAACTATTTATTTTCAGTATAGAAGTTTAATTTTTTCCATGAAATGAAAGTTGTCAATGCGCCAGGGCCCATTATGGCAGAGTCAGCAGGGGCTCCCCAGAGCAGTCATCAGGAAAGGTGTTGGACTCAGCTGCTGACTTGGTTCTGCTAATTGCATACACAGCACAGCTGGGTAGGTGGTCACTGAGCAACTGAGCCACATCTGCCATTTTCCCCTTCAGCGGCTGCCCCTCGATCTGATCCTGGATCTGGCTTTTGTCGATGGGCACAGGCTCCACACTGAAGGAGACCAACATCCTGATGTTATCCTTGGTCACAATGTCAAAGAAATTTCTGCTGCCACTGATGCCAAGGTATTCCTTCCCAGCCAACTGCTGCAATGGAAAATGCTCCTTGTGTTTAAAAACAAGGACAGACCAAGTCACCCAGTCCTACTTCTTAGCTAGAAAGGTTAGGAGGGACTAAATTAATTTGCGGTTGACACTACCCTCCTTATCCAGTAGGTGGTGCTCAACATCCATCTTAGCCTGCACAGCAAAAGTCTCCTTACAGTCATCCACAGCGGCCTTCATGCGCCTCTCCACCTCTCCCATCCTCTCTTGCCACTTGCTCACCAGCTCCTCGCCCACCTCGCCCTGATTTAGGGCGGCATGGCCCATAACCGCGATGATGCCCATGATGAAAAGCTTCTTCAGCCCCGAGCAGAATGCCTCCACAGCCCTGCGGCTTCTTTGCTCTATGGCCAGCACTGTCTCCAGCAGGGGCTCCCCAGAGCTTCCAGTGACTGCACCATATATGGCATCCAGATTCAGGTCACCTCCAGTCTTCTCAAAATGTTTCAGGAAGAGCTTCTTCTTGACCGCGCGGAACTTGGGCTTGGCGTTGAGGATGTCCATGTACTTACGGAACACATTGTTGAGGTTCTCTTCTACCTGGAAATAGGCCACGTCCACCTCACTCTTTCTGATCTGCTGGTTGATGCGTTCCACCTCCTCTGACATCACTTCCAGGTGTTCCCAAACCTTCTGGAACTGTTCCTTCATGTACTCTGCCTCTGTGCTCTCTGTGTTGTCCAGGGCTAATTGCACGAGAGGCAGCGAAATGGAGAACACAGAGAAGTCCTCTGCAGAGCTGTCCACAGCTTCAGCACCCTTGTCAAACACCTCCATTACAGTTTCCACCATATCTCTCTTGTCTAACAGTATTTCTGGCAGTGGCTCAGCCATTTTGGAAATGGTGTTGATTTGGAACAAAGAAGCTTCTCTCTGTAAACAAAATTTTACTGCTTAGTATTTATCAGAAATGGTACTTGTTTTACAAGGCTTCCGGCTTAATCGTTTTGGTCCTGCCTGTACTGAATTTGGGTGATGGATGCACGTTTTATGTATTTTTCAAACTGGAAAAAGTTTTCATGTACTGTATATAATTTTAATTGGGCCACTTTGTGTAAAGAACATCAATGGGCAAGGAGATATATGCATGCTTTAGTACATTCACTTTCCATTTTCAATTCAGACAACAAACATGCACGCCACTAAATCAATACTGGTTGTTTTCAGTTGTCCATTAAAGCCTGACTATCATGGGCGTGGGTGGTGGTGGACGGTATCTATTTCAATCCTGTAATACTGGATACTGTTCTATTTCCGGGCTAAATACTGAGCCGCGGGGATCAACACCGCGGTGAATTTAAACACGTGGTATTTAATAACGTAACCTACATTGTTTCTTTTTTCAGGAATCAAACGTTTTGCTGTGTAAACGCTGACGATCCCTACTGAGCTGTATAAACAATGAGCAAAGGACTGTAATTACACTTTTGAAAACATCGATTTTTATGTATCTCGGTACGAATTTTTAAAACTTTGGTCACCATATAGTGACGGTTTGGGCGAATAAACAAATGCAATATACTGTATTCCGACGCAAACCACGTTTTCAGCATTGTGTGTAGTAGGCCTACTTCAATTGTTAAATATAGGCTGCATATTTTCTTTCGATATTCTATTTACTGATAAAAATAAAAACCTATCTCAAATGTTAAACCGAAAGCATTAAGTTAGCGGTTACAATATATCCTGAACGTTTTTTAAAATATATAATTCATATTCGTTTCATTTCAAAATTATTGTAGGCCTACGCTGGTAAATCTGAATGGTCTTGTGTAGCATATACGTTGACCGGTGTTTAACAGAAAGTTTAATTAATGTATTTATAAATCTGCTACATTGAGTCGTTACTACAGCTGATACTTTAAACACAATTTTCCTCGATGCAGTCTATGTTTTAATACATTTGTAAAATCTAACTCGTATCAAACCGTATTCATATATCCAAGAAAGTAGCTGTCCAAATTGGTAAGGACCAATTACTGAGCCCCGGACCCCCACCCTAAACACACACGGTACTCCCACAATATTATTAGATCTGTGTCCCTATACTGGCCACGGGTCCGGAGCCTGTCCCGGTACGGGCTATGGGCGTGGGCTATGGGTTACCAGGTGTGGCTGGTGCGCCAATGTCCCAGCCGTCCGAACCAAACCAACGCCCACGCCTAAGTCCTTAATGTCAACAGCAACTGTTGTTTTCTCTTGTTTCATGATATTTATTGAGTTTGAGTTTTTGCTTGTTTATTTTGAATTTGATCGTCGAAGATTAAATAAAACTTAACATTTACAAAAAAAAAAAAAAAAAAACTTATCCAGGAAGTAGGCTTCCTGTTTTAAGGCGTGATCGTTTTCTCTACCTTTTGGTACCTTTAAAGATAAAAATAAACTACATATTTTACAACAGTCGACGAACTTACCTTTCCCAGCGTTGTAATTACAAACGTTTTCGCTTATTGCCGGTTACGACCAGTTTCTGATATATATATATATTTTTTTAAAAGATAGCGATTTAAAAGACTTTGCACACCCAAGAAACGCAGATCTAACTGTGGGGGCGGCCTGATCGCTTTCACCTCCCTCCTGGCAAACCAATTAGCTGTGTTACATTAAGTGTCCATATATTGCTATTAGACGCAAAGACATTTGTTGGTGCCACCGTGAGAATAGGTCATAATCAATAAATATATGAAGTAAAAAGTGAAGATGATGACTTAGGAAGGGATTCTTGGTATTAAAAAAATAGATAACTGCCAGATATCAGTAGAACAGGCAATTATAATTACCGTACAGGACCTGGTCCAAGGCTTTTGAAATTCTGGTTAAATCTCCTCCATCCAGGGGCCCCTACTTCTTCCAGACTTCTGTTTTTTTTTGACCTGATGATACCATATTTAGTTATGAAGGTAATGATCCTGATATGAGGTAACTCAGTTGATATTAGTAGAGTCCCATTATCTGGCCACAGTATACCTACAGCAGGGTTGCCAACTCTCACGCAAGCAATCTTACGGGAAATCTATATCATTCCATTACAAACTTAAACTTAGTTACATCAAAAGCATTGGGTCAGTTTGCAAACCCTACAGACTATTTACAAGGTAAGAAAACTGTCACATACATGTAAATGCGTGTGCATGTGTGTGCAGACATATCTCGAACTGAAAATGTCACTCCAGGCAGCTCACCTAAGTTGGCAACCCTGCCGCAAGTGGTTGGCAGAAGATTTTAGATATCACCACACCTTGGAAATAGGCTGAAATCTCTCTTGTTCTATACATTATAAAATACCTCATTGTTATTACTGCTTAACCAACGCTGATGACACCATTCCAGCCTTTGGCGTTATTCTTATAGATCTACTTGCAGATCCTATTGACTTGTGTCAATGGGCCATGTTGCTGAAACAGATGGAAAATTCCATCAGGACCTTTCATTTGCTGGAGATGTGCTGCCATGTGTCAAAGACCTGAACCTCAATGGAGGGATATTACATTTCACATGATGTAACTATAGGCCTGTAACTAAATAAAAGCCTTAGTGAAGGGAAATTGCAGTGAAAGATACAGAATATGAACTGGGAATCTGTTTGGTTGAGTGTGAGAGACAGTGGCTGCCCCTATGTATACAGGCCTAGTCTAATTAATTAATTCTAAAGGACGGAATTGTTCAATTCACGTCAGAACACAAAGGTGTTCTGTCCAGAATATGGAAAAAGCAGAGAAAAACACAGTGCAAACCAAAGAAAATGAATGGAAAGTGCCTGAAACTCACATCAATATCTATTACAGATCCATAATCTCCAAGAAGAGAGAGCTGACTGACTTTGCCAGTTGTTGATTGTAAGTGGGCAGTATGAGATATATAACACTTAAAAGGCTTGATATCAGAATTGATTGTGTTTGGCCAGAGACATCAATGGACAAAGTGGAAGCAGATCCTTACTTTTCATTTGACGCCAGGGGATGCACATTCGCCGTTACATTAACCGGCCGCTTCCAGCTACCCATTACAGCTCTTGGTGCTTCGCTTCCGTGTCGTTAGCCGTATATACAGGTATAGACATTAACACAACCAGTCCACATTTTTCTTATTTTCGGGTTTTGCGTGGTCATACAAGCATGCGAGATCTGTGTGATACGTGCAGCGTTAAATCATCTGCAACATAAATTGCCATCTGTAACATCTTAGTGTTACAAGACTCACATTTATTGTAATGACGTAATGAACTTATCGATACATGTTAAACACATCACCACCGCAGCATGTTACATGGATGATGTCACGCTTGTTAGTAACTTTCTTCTGTCGTAGTAGGTTGGACACATGCAACCAAGATGACTAAAGCTATTTATATGTATCAGACTGTACTGAGATACAAATACTGTAGGTTTTTTAAACAATTTCTTCTTGAAATGGGGGTGTCTTAAAATCACCGCAAAATCATCTATGACTGTGAAACACAAATATTTAACACAAAAAGCCAAAGAATGAGGTAACTAGTTACATTGTATTGGGAAAAAGAAAAGAAGATGTAAGATATAACCTGCAGAAAAGACAGTACATAACGCACACAGACAGATGCAACATCACTATGATTACTCACTATTAAAATACACTAACAGCAAACAATTCTCTATTGACTTTTATTTTATTTATTTTATTTATTTATTTATTTATTTAATTTTTTTATTATTTTTTTTATTATTATTTTTTATTTATTGACCTTGACTTTTATAATGCACCTTTGTGATCATTAATGGCAAATAGCAGATTTCATAGTTTGAAGGACATTACAACATTAATTTGTGTGTAAAATTGCTTAATTTGGTTTATGAAGCGAAAGGCGTCCGTGGCAATATAGAATTAGATATTTTACAGGTGACAAATGGCAGGTTTGGATGTGACTATATAGATTAGCATCATCCATCCGTCCATCCATCCATCCATCCATCCATCATCCAACTGCTTATTCAGTACAGTGTCACTGGGTAGATTTATCTCAATAATGCATTAATAGTTACTGCAAGGGATGATCCAAAAACTGAACAAGACAGATGCCTGTCCAAACATTAGTGTGAATTGCATCTTACTTATACAGGTGACTCTAAGCATAACACTGTCCAAATGGGCCCACACAATGCATGCAGGTATATGATGAGAAACAATGTCCAAATTAGTGTCCATTTTACCTAAAGAATATCTTCCTAGTCACCTCCCACATTTGTGAATTTGACGTTTGCAGATTCAGTTATTCACGAGTTTCTGGATGATGTGTAAGCCAAAAGGGTATGAACAATACTGAAAATGATTTGGATCACATGAAAGCATATAATATATAAATATCTTAAAAATAAAATATTTTATTTAATATTTGATATTGTAACTGCATACTATATCTTTAATATTGAAAGGTATTTGAAAAATTATAACTGAGTAGTGTGGGGTCTACATATCTTGACATGGGTACGTCAAGCATCTCTGTCTCAGGAACCAATCTCACGTGTTAAGTGTTTCTGTGATTGTGGAACCTCGTGTTTCTCTCAGTAACTTTTAAACTTTTCAGTGCCGTTAATTTTGCTTTTTTTAATAATGGAGCTAATTATTCTTCACAAATAATCACCTTTGCAGGGATCTTCCGTCCTTTACCCTCACTAATGTTAAGAGGTGACTGTACTTGGTAATCAGCTAATGAATTCCGTTGTTAAGGGCTATTTGGAGTGGATGCAGAAGTGCGCTTTCTTGTGACTTTCATAATAGTAGCAGTCATCAGGAAAGGTGTTGGACTCAGCTGCTGACTTGGTTCTGCTAATTGCATACACAGCACAGCTGGGTAGGTGGTCACTGAGCGACTGAGCCACATCTGCCATTTTCCCCTTCAGCGGCTGCCCCTCGATCTGATCCTGGATCTGGCTTTTGTCGATGGGCACAGGCTCCACACTGAAGGAGACCAACATCCTGATGTTATCCTTGGTCACAATGTCAAAGAAATTTCTGCTGCCACTGATGCCAAGGTATTCTTTCCCAGCCAACTGCTGCAATGGAAAATGCTCCTTGTGTTTAAAAACAAGGACAGACCAAGCCACCCAGTCGTACTTCTTATCTAGAAAGGTTAGGAGGGGCTCGATGAATTTGCGGTTGACACTACCCTCCTTATCCAGTAGGTGGTGCTCAACATCCATCTTAGCCTGCACAGCAAAATTCTCCTTACAGTCATCCACAGCGGCCTTCATGCGCCTCTCCACCTCTCCCATCCTCTCTTGCCACTTGCTCACCAGCTCCTCGCCCACCTCGCCCTGATTTAGGGCGGCATGGCCCATAACCGCGATGATGCCCATGATGAAAAGCTTCTTCAGCCCCGAGCAGAATTCCTCCACAGCCCTGCGGCTTCTTTGCTCTATGGCCAGCACTGTCTCCAGCAGGGGCTCCCCAGAGCTTCCAGTGACTGCACCATATATGGCATCCAGATTCAGGTCAGCCCCAGTGTTCTCAAAATGGCGGAGGAACTTCTCCATCTTCTTCTGCTGGAACTCAGTTGCATTGACGAAGTCCTGGAACTTCTCATACTGGCTGATCATCTGGGCCTCGTAGTCGAAGTTCTGCTTGTTGATGGAGACCCGCTGTAATTCCCGGGTAATGCTGTCTACCTCCTGGCTGACGCCGGCAAGCTTCTGGTCCAGCCTCCGGAACTGCTCCGTCAGGTAGCGACTCTCTGCGCTTCCCGGGCTGTGGATTATCTGGGCGGCAGCCCGAAAGACGGCTTCCAGGAGGGGGTGGAGTTTCCCCACAGTAGCCGCCAGCACCTCGCACCCCTCTCCTACAAGCTCCACCCCCTTTTCAATCTTGCTTTTGTTCTCCACAAGCCATTCTTCCAAGCTGTTCATTTTTCCCCTTTCCCTCAGAACATCCAAACAAGGTGAACTGCAAAAGAAAAAGGTACCCTATCTTAAGTACATCCCATCTAGTAAGAATCACAATAGCGCTAAATCCATTGTCATAATGCTTTAAGCATACTTTAGATTATATGTTTATATAATGTGGCAGCTGTACAGAGAAATTTCATCATGGAATATGGTGTAAAACACGGTTTACATCTTCAGATTTTTCAGGCATGTAGCCACTTATCAAAATTATCGGGTTTAAAACCCCACCCCAAAATTTTTTTCCTCCTGATCAGGCGTGTAGCCAGCTAGTAAATTTACAGACCAATCGCTGGCATTGTTGTACACCCCCCCCCCCCAACAAAATGTATTTCTGGCTACAGGTCTGATCCACAGACGTACCCTTCATCAGTGACACACCTTTCTACGCCACTGACAAAACTGCACATTATGTCATAATTATTTATTGATGCCACCGATTTATAATTAACTAGATTATAATTGATTATACAAATTCAGGTTGCTATATCAAACCGTTTCATTTAACAAAGCACGTATGTTTACATGAGGAACATGTCCTTGGTACATAGCCTGTGAGACAGCTAGACAGCGGGTCTGCAGATCAGCACCATCCCAGCCTTTCTGACACAACACTAACAAATGATTGATCGCTGCGGTTTGCCTGCATGTCGAAAAACCTGTTCAAATACTGCAAAATACCATATTGGTCAATACCTGCAAAATCAGAATTAGAATTTACAATTTATGACTCATAAACCATTTTTTTTCCTCTTACAAATGATACATCTCACCTCTGTTCCCAAACCACAAGCTCATGTGTTTTTTTAACCACTCCGCCACATTAACAGCAGCTCCCAATGGGCAGCCCGTACTGGTTTAGCAGAATAGCAGAAATGCACATTACGAGCATCGCATGCACGGAATCTGTCCCTTTTTTGTCTTTCTTTTTGTTCCCCGTTTTTTAAAGGTTCAACGGACTTGCTGATAATCCGCAAAAAGAATGAGAAAAGGATGTGATTTACCTTCTTTCGCAGGCAAAAAAGGAGCAGTCCTAGAAAACAGACAGAGATGAAAGTATTGATGAATTAAGCTCAGCACTGCTTAGGCTCTTCAGTACCAAAAAGATGCGCAGCCCCTTAGGGTTGTGTGGAATACGCCACACCTCCCCTGAATCGTCTCCATCCTTCACTGCGTGAATCAGGGGGTGGGGACTCAAAGACACAGATGTATTCTGGTAAAACCAGCATTCTGAATTCACATTTTATACGCAAATGCAGATAAAGGAAGACAGCAGCTCACATGATTTTTCCATTAGTAACTAGAGTTTTGGTTCTATTCTGAGTCCAGATGTATCTATCAGACTATCTGAATAATCTTCTAGAAAAACCTTGTGTAAAATTACTTGAAGCTATTTATATTGATTAAAAAACATACACATATTAGTTACTCACTAGTATTTTATATAAATGCTAATGCTACCTTCCAATCTCTCACAGGGGATCTGGATTCTGTCCCAGGCAGCACAATGAACAAGGCAGGTATGATAATCAATACATTAAAACGTCTCAGTTAGTATTTCATTATAGGTCAATCAAGCCTATGAAGACAGTAGGAAAATTGCTTACACTACTGCCCTCGCAGTACTATGGTTGGGAGTTTCTATCTGGATGACATGAAACTCCACCGCAGCTATGGCAACTGTGAATGACGGAAAACAGATTAAACAGACACTGTATTTCAACAGGTTTTAAATAAATGATCCATCAGTGAAATAAAGTGGTTCACTGGTGGTCAGAAGGGTGATTGTCCGGTCTATTACCATGACCTGGCAAGAGGCCTGTTTTGGTTGCTGTGGTGATTAAAAACCCTGCTATTAAAGTGTAGCTAGCGGCAATAAGATGAGAGGCATATCACTGCAGCCAGGAGCTGAATGTCGAGTGGGAGGGGCAGATAACTGTTATCATCTGATATCCAAACTGTAACCCTAACCTGAACCCTAACTCTCGTTATAAAATCCTCCTACCCCTCGTTATATACCTATCCTACTTGACATTGCCCCTCCCACTTCACATTGCCCCTCCCACTCGGCATTGCCTCTCCCACTTGACATTGTCCCTCCCACTCGGCATTGCCCCTCCCACTTGACATTGTCCCTCCCACTCGGCATTGCCCCTCCCACTTGACACTCGGCTCCGGGTGCAGCTATATATATTTGAATTAGGCTGGTGGAACTTTCAGGAAACATGGGAGCCAGCTGGGTGGAGTTTTAGAAGAGTATGGAAGGGCTGCATGTGTATATTTACAGTGGTACCTCAGAACTCGAACTTAATCCGTTCAGAACTCCGGATCGAATCCTAAAAAGTCTGAGTTCTGATTAAATTTTCCCCATAAGAAATAATGTAAAACCAATTAATTTGTTCCCGGTCACAAAAAAATTACACCTAAATATGTTTTTTTTTTTAGCATTTAAACACAAAATGAACTGGATAAAACAAGAAGAGCATATACTGTACTAAACACATCTAAGCACATTTATCAAAACAGCAATTTGTAAAGTAAGAAAATAAGTGTATCCAAACAATGTGTAAAGTTAAAAAAAAAATGTGTCCTGTCCCGATTGTCCGCTCCTTCCGTGAGCCACGCCTCCTCGTTAACCCAGTGTGGAATACCTGTGTGATCAGCTGTTTCTGGTTGTTGTCATTAGTCTTCTGTATTTAGTCCGCGTTTCAGTTTCTTTCCCCAGTCCGGTCATTGTATTGTCTGTCTGCGTTTTGCCTACCTTACCTGTAATTAAACCCCGTATTTCCCGATACCCTGACGTCTGCGCCTTGTCTCCATTCCGTCCCGCTCGGCAGGACAAAATCATTATAATTAAATGTATTCATGGTTTATTATTACTTTTAAAATAATAAGAAATCTTTATTTTAAAATGTATTTTATTATATAATAATAATTACTGTTACTGTGTTTCATTGTCTAAATGTATTTTTACTGTCTATGTATTCAGCTAGTGTAAACATGCACGGTGCTATCACGGCGCATGCAAGGCTGAGACTGAAGCGTTACCCTATGTTTCCGCTGAGAGACGTGCCGCGTGACATATTTCCCCACATACAAGTTATCTTAGGTCGGCGTTCACGGTTTGAATTCTGAGATTCAGTTCGAGCTCTAGGTATTTTTTTTTCTAACTGGTTGGTTCGACTTTTAAGAAATTCGACTTCTAATGAGTTTGAGAACTGAGGTACCACTGTATTTTGGATTCTGTCATTTCAGCTTGAAAACAAAACGGTTCTTCTGTCCTCTTTGCTTCCTGGTTGCATGACTACAAGTGATTTGTCCTAATTAATTATTACTCAGATTATTTATTATTCAGTATTCTCACAACACAGCAATGTCATGAATCTTTAAATAGAATAACTCCACGCACAGCGGTAAGACATGCTTTAGGATCTGCTTTAAGATGCGCCCCCACAAAAGTGTTTCAAACTGACGACAAAAAAACAGCAGCTTGAAGGTCATGATGTATCCGATTGTGTGTGTCACTGAGCAAATGTTTTAATGCTCTTTATTGGGTTAGTCTGTGGAGCCGGTCGATGGATGACTCTGATGAAGGAGTAATAGCATTTCTGCCTCGCCTGTCATTGGGAAGTACAGGATGGACATATAACTGATTGCCTGCCCGCCCTAGCATGCTAACTCTGATATCTGTGCATTAAATACTAAATAATATCGACAGATGTTCTTTCCTTGCACAGACACACAGTATTATGCCGGTACATTTAATCGAATAGATTAAACAGCCCATGTACAAAAGTGAAACATAACAGAATTTAAACATAGTCTTACCATTCTCATCAAGAACGTACTTTTTTTAATGCTTCTTGAAATTCAGACAAATTATCTAAATACATTGTAGTTGCACTTTGTTTTTATAGCGTTATATATTTTTGTTTTTTTCTTACCTTTGTTTTTGCATTTTCTGATGGGTTTACTGAACTATGGGGGTAACATCTTTGCCACAAAGGGTAATCTTTATAGCTCAATTGGAGTGCAGTGCTGCTGTGCTGTTGCGTCCCTAGGAGCTTCTCTGCGTCTCTTCTAAGACATCTTTTAGCCCGGAGTGTGTGTCCGAGGGTTCTCAGACTGAGCGCGTGGAAATTAAAGCATCTCATTTAAACAAATCATTCGGGGCTTCAGGCCCGGGCTCGTGCGAAGAAACGGAAAAAGAGTAGGGGGCCTGAACGTGTCGGATGGGAAGGGGTGCACAGATGGGTCATGTGCAGCGTGACGTCCCTTATCATCCATCAGCAAGCGCGAGTGGGGCGTGTGGGTGCAAAAATTAAAAAAATAAAAAAAAAAGTCAGCAAGAAAAAATCAGGTATACGTTTTTTTTTTTTTTTTTTTTTTATCGTTCAGAGCCAGAATAACATTCAACAGTTTATCAGAACTGTTTATCAGGACAGAATGTTAATATAATGGCCCACAATCTAACGTTTCCATTTAAAATCATTTATTGCACTGTAATCCATAAACTGCTGTCAATGCCCTTTGCAGTCCCCGTGTTTTCTGAAAGCGCTCTCGATCAGCTCGAAATTACAAGAGGTTGACAGGGCCTGCTGCCATTCCCCTTACTACAACTGAAAGGGTGCATAATACATATGATATACCATTCAACGTGTAACACGTGAGAAAAATATACGTAGACACAGCATGCTAACAAATAACCGATTTAAACCACCTGTTCCCCCCGTTTAATTTCCCTAAATTTCCGTGGGATACAGGAGTATAATTTAGGCTACACTAAGTAGACATTACTTGTATAACCTTGTTTCGTTTTGGAAAATAATATTCAAAAGGTTTCATTTTGAGTGTCAAGCGCACCCTCTGCTGTCTGGGATAGGCTCCAACTCCCCTCCGCGACCCTGAACAGACACGGATGCAAGAATTGGAAGGTCGTGTTTCTAAAAAGGTGCCTTTCCAATGCGTTTGATGTGTATTTTACTGCCATCGCGTGGTAGAATTGGGCAACTTTCATCAGGAATTCTGTAATTATTTACAATTCTATATGTCGCAGTTACAATTATTTTAATACTATAGTGACTATAATGTCTCCCTGTACTGCTATCAGGATGCATCCGATATACAGTGGTCCTCTGATTATGCAGAACAATAGACAATTAAATGGAAACTATGAACTATATAAATTTGTTCAGTGTCTTAATAGGCAAAATATCAAATGTTATTACATGTTTCCTCACTCTAATAGGTCATCAAAATGGACAGTGGTGAAGAATTATATATTTAATGAACAGTTTTACTCGGGAAAACGGAGCCGTCCCAATCTTCACGCAGCTCTTCTCAGAACTCAATTTCCCACATACCTCAGCGGTTGCAAAATCGCTACAGGTACCCAGGTAGCCCAAATATATTGCCGTATGCAGTGCGTGCAATAGGTCAAGACATTCCCCGTGTAATTTAACATACTTTGACTTCTTTTTTACGAAACTGAATAAAATGAATGGGTACTCACACAGTTCTTTGTTCCCCTTTTTCATGTACTGAAATGTCAGATTCGTCACACATGATCCATAGCTGTCATTGTCTATTCATTTGAAACCATTACTTCTGGAAGCATTAATTTGGATAAAAGTATTAGGCAGCCTGAGATTCTCAGTTTTGCAGAAAGATCTGGTTTCATGTAAGAATATGGCCATCAAGCCTTTATATTTACACAAACCCCGAGATTGTATGTAAATTGCAGTTTGTATTCTTGTTTGAATTTTACTAGTGAAATACATCCCTTTGGAAGCTTAAGCAAAAACCAGTAAATACTGGAAAAATGTGATTTATAAAAAGTGTAAAAAGCACTCGTTTTATGTTGGCTGCATTCAACAAGGAGATGGTTAAAATTTAATTTGCCATTTCTTTTGAATTAGCATAGCATGTTAAGTTACACATAACAGTTGTGTTCAAAATAATAGCAGTCCGACATCACTAACCTGATCAATCACCGTTCTTGGGAGAAATTATATTTCTACATGGCAAATAATTTACTAGTAGGTGTTGTAGAGGTATGGAAAACCAACAGACCCAACAGTAATGACATGCATGCTGCTGATTATGTGTAACAGAATCATTACTTGAAAGGGGCGTGTTCAAAATAATAGCAGTG